TTACAATTTTGATCCGATAGCGTAAAGAGCTCTTTTCTCAGAAACTCCTGTGTCAGTGTCAGTAGTGGCGTTGTTTGTTGTGAGTGAAAAATTATCATCATTATGTGACCAAAAATCTAGAAAGATGCAAATGAAATAAATAATAAATTCCGGGTCGGAGTGGGGATTAAAACCATGATGTTTGCGTAGTAAGCGGGTGTTCCACCACACAGCTTGTAAATACAGTGAAAATAACTTCCTCTGCTTGGAAATGCGGTGAAAGTAATATACATGCTTTACCAACGCACGCGTCATGTATAAATACGCTTCGCAATTAAACATAAAATATTGCCGTAATAATGCGTGGTACAAGTGTACATCGCCATCGGGTGAGAGAACATGATATTAAGATAATGAATTCATAGTTCAAAGCTAGTCAACCACAACAAAATGCGCACACGCTACCGCACCCCTAAGGTGACGTAGTGGCTGGCTAGCAAGTTCAAAACGATTTCATACACTAACCACCGTATTCATAAAGGCTGCTCGAATCGACTTTCATCCTTCACTTGAGAGAGTGGAGCACTGCGCCACAGCTCGGCTGAAAAATGACGCTGCGCTACTCAAGAATCGCAGCAGATTATCGCTGTTATGCAGTGACCTGTGCCTAGAGACGGCGCTCCCATCGGCCTTCTTAAGTGAGGGTGAAACATTGAGTGAAGGAACGTTCTAGAATAACGGTGTAAGTGTTTGGAGTACGCGCTACAAAAATACAATATCGCTATCGCGTTAAGCTCTTAAAGAGAACGCTTAAAGGTGATTGATTGATTGATTAAAACTTTATTTTTGTCTTGAGAAGACGCAGGGGAGACCCCGCGCCACCCGGGTAATCCCACGTAGGGACCGCGAAGCCGAGCTTGGCGGCTTGTTCACGGGCACTCTGGACGGCCAGGGTTTGATCCTTAAGTTCGGGGCTGCGTAAGAGCGCAGCCTACCTGTCCTCACTGAGGGCGGGGCCGATGGCTTCACATTCCCACAACACAAGATTTAATGTGGCTAACAGTCCACAAGGGGGGCAATCCGCACTTGGTACCGTTCAGGGTAGATGGCATGAAGAACCACAGGGTTAGAATACACACTAGCTGACAATAGTCTTAGGGTGACTGCCTGCGCCCTGCACAAGGCCGGGTGTGGGTGAGGGAATACACTTCTTGACAAGATAGAAGTGCTTTGTTATTTCGTTGAAAGTAAGTAAGGGTTCCCAGCGAGGCAGAGGGACTGCGTAGGCGGCGCGGTCAGTGAGTCCTCGCGCGGCCTCGTGTGCGCCCTGGTTCAGGTTAGAGGTAGAGCCCTCAATAGACCCCAGCTGAGCGGGAAACCAAGTGAGAGAATGGGGCGTGATACACTTGACACTCTTGAGAACGCGGAGGGCCTGAGGGGCTACCATCCCGGTTTCGTTGGCTTTGATAGCCGCCTTGGAGTCGCTTTATATTGACTCTCTGCGACTATCTAGCATAGCCAGCGCGATTGCAACCTGTTCGGCTATCACGGGCTTCGATGTGCGAACTGTGGTGGAGCAAGTGAGCCTGGAATTTGAGTCGACGATGGAAACATCGCATGCCTCTTGTTGCACATATGGCACAGCATCCACAAAGTTTGCATCAGGGGGGGCTGCTACAGACGTGCTCGAGCAGAGCTCTACGTTTGGCCCTAAGCCGACCGACGTTGTGCGCAGGGTGCATATTGCGGGGAATAGCCGCGATGCGCATTTCAGACCTGATGTTTCTGGGAATATGCATGGAATCACGGCACTGGTCAATAGAGTTGAGGCCCAAATCATCGAGTATCTTGCGGCCTGATTTGGTTCCGGACGCCTGAGCAGCTGTGAATGCTCTTGCGCCTCAATTATTTCTTCGAGTGTATTGTGAACACCGAGCTTGAAAAGGTTTTCAGAGCAAGTGCTTACTGGCAAGCCGAGCGCGAGCTTGAAGACCTTCATTATGAGGGAATCGAGCTTACTTCTCTCTGCAACATGCCAAATATACATGACCGCTGAGTGCAAAAGGTGGCAGAGCACAAACGCATGTATGATGCGGATGAGATTGTCTTCCTTGATTCCCCGGTGTCTGTTGGTGATCCTCCGTATGAGGCCGAGAGCACATTCAGTCTTGGTAGTAATCTGTCTGGGTGCAGTTCCGTTAGCGCCGTTGGACTCGATATACATTCCCAATATTCGGCGCGAATCCACTCTGGGCACTGGGGACCCGTCCTCAGTGAAAAGCCGTATTTCACTTTGAGACGCAGGTTTTCTGTCACAGTGGCTGCCGCCTCGGGGTCTTTTCTTGTAGAGCAGAAGTTCAGATTTCGATGGGGAGCACCAGAGACTTGTGGGACGAAGGAAACGTTCGGTCACGTCGATTGTGCGCTGCATGGCTTCCCCAACTTGACCATCGCTCCCGCTGGTGCACCAGATGGTTATATCATCTGCGTAGATAGTGCGATTGATTCCTTGAATCTTCGCGAGTTCCTCGGAGAGCCCGATCATCACGATGTTAAATGGCGTTGGTGAAATAACTTAGCCCTGAGGCATGCCGCGTGAACCGAGGTTGATCTCTCGTGAGAAGTACCCATCGATCTAGTGCTTGGTAGTTCTCTGGTAAAGAAAGGATCTCACGAAGTCGTAGACACTCCTCCCTAGCCCTAGGCTCGCAATAGACTGGAGAAGAAATTCGTGAGAAACGTCGAACGCCTTCTCCAGGTCTAATCTAAGGATGGCTCTGGTATCTCCTGGGCTCTGGTCGATGATCGGATGCTTTATCAGCTTCATGACATCCTGTGTCGAGAGACCAGCTCTGAAACCAATCATATTGTGGGTGTACATGTCATTGGTTTCGAGGTGCACCTTGAGTCGGTTCAGAAGGGCGTGCTCTGCAACCTTACCGACACGTGAAGTTAAGAAAATCAGTCTTAGATTATCTATTCCTGGTGCTTTACCAGGTTTCGGGATAAGAACTGTGTAGGCTGTCTTCCATTGTGCGGGGAACTCCCCACTGCAACAAACCTCATTAATCTTTTCCGTAAGGAATTCGATGAAGTCATCATCAAGGTTCTTGAGCATCTTATTGGATATGCCATCAGGGCCAGGGGCGGATTTCGCATTTAGAGAAAAAGGAGCCTGCCGTATCTCGGCCATGGTATAGTCCTCGTTCAACTCCGGCACGTCGCACCGCGCGTTGCCCGGAAACTGTGAGGGTGCAGAGCTATCTGCGACAGGCAGATACCTGTCTATAAGCTTGTTGACAACCAATTCGTCCGCGGTAGAGTCAGTGGCAAGATGGATGACTCGCGCGAGGGATCGCCTCTGGCTGGACCTGGTGCTGCCCTGATCGAGAAGGTCTTTGAGAAGACCCCAGCTCTTTCCAGATCTGAGCTGACCCTCGACGCTCTCGCAGTGCTCATGCCATTGTTGTTTACACAATGTTTTGCAGTACTCCTCGATTGCCCTGTTAACCTCGGAAACCTTCTTGCGGAACCTCCTGTTATGCTTCTGTCCCTTCCACCTCGTGAGTAGGGCTTGCTTGGCTTTTAGTAGATGTGCCAGCCTTCTGTACATGTTTTTAACATCGAGGTCAGTGACGACCTTCTTGGTCACTGCCATGACGTCATCTCTGATTCCTTTGTACCATCCTTCAAAGTCTGTCCCAGGCGTCGGTGCTCTCTCAGCTCTGACTTCGCGAAAAACGTCCCAGTCGACCACCTTAAATTTTTTCGTACTAAAGTGGGCAATCGCGAAGAATACCTCGATGACGTAGTGGTCACTTCCTAGGTCTAAAGCCGTGCTGACCCACTTGACTCTACCTATATTCTTCACAAAAGTGAGGTCTGGCGTGGTATCCCGACATGTGGAGTTACCTCTAATAGAGGGGAAATCCTTGTCAGTGACAAGCTTCAAGTAGGCTTCTGTCGCAGTCTGCCATAGCTCGCGTCCCTTGGGGGTATCATACATGTATCCCCACACGCTGTATGGGGCGTTGAAATCCCATATGATGACAAGGGGGTAACTATGGCCGTGCTCACAGGCTTTTTGAGGAGAGAGTTTGCTCTCGCCCCGCGATAACTGGGACTGCAGTATACGTTGAGAATAAAAAGGCTATTTCTTCGATGACCCTTCTTGGGTGAGTTCATGATAATTTCAGTCATTACGTACTCAATGCCATCGGCAACTGCACCGAGGTCACGCGATAAGTAATTGTACCTTTTGCTGATAAGTATAGCTACTCCCCTACCTCCTGAATGTGATGACGCTACTAGGTAACCCTGGAGTTTGATGGGGATGCCAGACGCAACTTCCTGAACAGCGATGACTTTGGGCTTAACATCTAGAGTTTTATTATTGCTGTAGAATGGGCTTTTTGTGCGTAAACTCGCCACAGTTCCATTGCCAGATTCTGAAGTTTTCGTCCACACTATCCATGTTTAGGCTGAGGGGATGATTGAGCAGCTATAGTGGCCCGGAGGATCGTGCCCTCAGTCGGTGGCGCTAGTACATTGCGTTGTGCTGGGACCTGCAAAGGAGTCGGACAGGGGTCTATTTTCGCATCGACCTCTTCTAGCTTGCTTATGCGTTCACTCAGTGCTCCTAACCCCACCTTAGGGTGCGACACGGCTTCTTGAATTTTCGCTGATGCAGCCTGCAAGTTGACGAAGGAAACCTTGAGTTCCAACAGTAAGTGTACCACCTCTTCTTCTTGTGTATTCTCAACCGCTCGGCGCTTGGTTCCGCTAGGCCTGTGAAGTGCCACAGACGTATCCATGGCAATCGGGGTTGGGGCGAGCTGTGCCGAAGGGGGCGAGGACGCGAGCTTTTAAATCTCCGCCATCTCCGCAGCTAGCCTGCTCATTTCTTGCTTAAGCTGCGCATTTTCTTTCCTCAGCTGCTTGTTAGCTCGTCGCATCTCGTCGAGCTCACTCGCGTGGGGAGAACAGCGATTCGTTTCGTCGCCTCTAGGAGACTCACGTCTTCATCGGGCCTTGTCTGCCCAGGAGAGCGTCGGCTTCTTGCTGTTAGAGGTGGCGGGCGAGCGGGAGCGGGACCTGGTCGGCCCCGACGAAACGGGCCCCGGCCTTGAGGTGGAGCGAAGCTGAGAAGTGGAACTTCCCCGGGCACGTTCTGTCGACCTGGAGCGCGAGCCGGAACATCCCTTGGAGGCACCACGGCGCCTGGGTCCGGAGAAGCCTCCCGAGCGTCCCCTGGAACGGGGGCGTCCTCTGCGCTGATTATCCGTGGTGGGTGACGAAGACTGGAACTCGTCCGCAGTGTCGAGGTGACGTTTCGGGGACGGTGAAGCAGCATCAGCCATTCTGGCGTGCTCACTGCGATGACGGCACACAATGTACGGGATCTTGAACCTTTGAGCACAGTCGTTGCTAGCCGTGAGATGCTGGCCACCACACATTTTGCACTTGGGAATACACACCTGTCACTTGTCGGGGCTTGCGGCACCACAGCCTCGGCAATTCGTGTCACCGGGAGTGGGGCACACGTCAGTGCGATGACCAAGACGGCCGCACGCATAACACACGTCGATTTGCTTGCGGTAGAGTGAGCATTGCATCAGCACTGGTCCATACCTGACAAAGTTCGGTATACGATGCCCGTTGAAAGTGATGATCACCGTGCCAGTTTGAGATATTATCTTGGCTGCTAAGGCGTGTAGATTATTTGTCTTGACAATCTTTGCATCGATGACGTCAGGGCTGTCTTGAAGAGGGACGTTGCGAATCACCCCTTTTCAAGTGGTGTGTGGGGCAGTATCATAAGCACTTAGCTCGTGCACCTTGCCCGAAATGAGTATTTGCTTCATCCGAACGTATCGGTCTGCGTTTTCGCGTTTGGGAGTAATAGAAACCATAATATTTTGCTGCAGATTTGAGCATAGAGTATCCTGGCACAAATATTCCTGGCTATTGCAAGTGGCAACTAGTATTGCGTCTGCCACCGTAGCTGCGCCAATTTTTGAGATATTGAGTCCACCTCTCTGCCGGATCACAATCTTGATGTCATCTTGAGGAAGAGAGGGCATCTTTCCCGCCCGTATTACTTTGTACTTCAGCGCAGCGCCAATCAATTTGCCGCGGCGTGCGCCCGGCTGCGACGATGGCGCGTTAGAGTCAGCAGTGCGTGTTTTGGCGCCAACTCTTCTGGCCCCAGCGGACTGCCAACCTTTATCTTGAGTAAACTCTTCTTCTGAAATATCCTCTCTGTGCAGTTCATACTCCATCATGAGAAAAGAATTCTGCGCACTGGGTCTGCGAAGGGCCCGCCGCAGGCGAGAACAAGCACAGCAAAAGTGTGGTCTCCCAAGCCACTCGTTAGGGTTAAAGAGGGCACCGCTTCACAGGAAAAGAAATTGTTCCTATCTTGACAAAAACTCACTCACTGTGGTCAAATATGGTATCGGTAGGATCCTGATGACTTTTTGGAAGTGATGCGAGCAACAGTTCATGAACACTTGAAGAAAAAACTCTAGAAACACAGATTTAGTTGCGCGTCCACAGGAGCCGTACGAACGCAGCCTCACGCTTAAGGGCCCCCCAATTTTTCTTCGCTCACAACGAACGACGCCAACTTCGACACTGACACTAAAATTTCTTCAAAACCGGTTCTTTAACGCTCTCGTGTTAATAGTCCTAAAATGACCGTAAGAGTAACTATGCAGTCATTTATGGGAACGTGAGCAGACATACCAGCAAATATGGTGGAATTGAAAAAAGAAACAGAGGTATAAAAACTAAATGCAGTTTTTACTCTGTAATTCACATGTAAAATTGAGTAAAAACAGATATTCAGTTGTTAGATAGCACTCGTACTGAGGCCTTTCCGCGCTACGTCTCGTTCGCACTGATTTTTTTACAACACTCATCAAATCAATTTCGGCCACCTCTTTGCCTTACTGCTCAATTGTCAGTCAGACTATTTGGATAATATCTGATTGCGCGGCTAGTCTTTCATCTTTGTTTTTCATGTACGTAGATCGCGTGGACATGTCCAGTTTGTTCTTCAGATGTTAGGTGGATGTGACACACGGCACACATGAAAAAGGGCATGATAAAGGAAAACTATCAATTGCAATTTTATCAGAGAAAAACATACTTACAACGCCCTCGTAACTTATATTCTTCTTGCGCCGCGTATGTCGCTGACTCCCACTCTGTACATCTAACCAATTCGCCAAACTTTTATTTTAAATTTCTTTCTCCTTTCTTTTTCCCTTTTATTTGAATGAAGCACTCAGTTGTGAATAAGCGCACGTGTTGATGAGTCTACTTTTGTGTGTTTTCTTTATTGCGATGTTTCAAATGTAAGCCAAACCAACCATCCCCACTCAACAGTTTCTGGATGTTTCGCTTGCTTTATGAAGCACTGCTTAGAATGAAGGTTTCTTCGACAAGACCTTTAATCTTTCGTTGTAGCTCAACTTTAATACGCTTTGAATTGCACCTTGTTTAAACGAAATACTGTAGTAATTAGTCAAGCATTGAAGATACCGCAGGCAAGAACGTCGATTCTTCGGGTCAGAATGTTCCACAAACTAAGTTCACTGGTTTACTGGATGTCACTTGGTTAGAAAGAGGTACAGCAGGTGATTTCTATCTTGGTTGAAGGAAATTTATGGAATAAGTGTTTACATAGATCAATACAAAACTTAAATAAAACGTCTTTAACGTGATCAAACATTGATTGTTGTTAAGCTGCGATCTTATTTAGTCAACATTCGGCTTTCATTTCATTCTTATTTTTGACTTCTCACTTTCACCTATTCACTCACATTGTAATTTGTACTTTTGTGCTGTAAATGTCACCTGCTTCGAACGTTTCAAAGAAATTTTGACTTGTACAAACTAAGGCGACTTTTATTGTATCAATACAACAGTTTCAATACGTATGTTAGCAGCTAAACATTGAGGAGAGTAAGTGTTTTTATTGAGAGAGACAAAACGCTGTTACGACGAGGAAAACAAATCAATAGTGTTTTACATGGCTAGGAAGGGGCCCCGCTTGTTAAAGGGAAACTAATGAGCAAAAATGACTTGATTTTTAATTACAAACTGCCGTTTGAACACTCTAATTCTGTATCTTCTAATATCACAAGTTCATTATTAGGAGAAGAAATAAAGCCCCGCCGCGGTGGTCTAGTGGCTAAGGTACTCGGCTGCTGACCCGCAGGTCGCGGGTTCAAATCCCGGCTGCGGTGGCTGCATTTCCGATGGAGGCGGAAATGTCGAGGCCCGTGTGCTCAGATTTGGGTGCACGTTAAAGAACCCCAGGTGGTCAAAATTTCCGGAGCCCTCCACTACGGCGTCTCTCATAATCATATGGTGGTTTTGGGACGGTAAACCCCACAAATCAATCAATCAGGAGAAGAAATAAAGGTTTGAGTTTCTTTTTTTAAATTTTGCTCTAAATTTTTCGCACGTGACGTAAAAAATTCGAAAATGTATTTTTTCGTATTTTCGTGGCAATGCCTCGATGACATTTTTTGATACCTCGTATGATAAGTCTAAGGCACCCAATATTACAGTAATTTGTTTTTTTATTGATGAGAAGCTACGTAGGACTCAGTAGACGTCTTGAATAGTTCTTACGTCACGGTGTTTGGTGCGGGAATCTCAGGATGGTGACATCACCCGCATCTTCTTTTTGCGCGTTTTATTCACTTTCTAAGCGTTGTGTCACGGAAAGAGTGATATTTTTAGGATACTGCGAAATTGTACATCACTAATACGTGATAGATTGTTTTGCTCTTTAGTGTTCCTTTAAAGAATAATTGAGGAAGGGGGCTGGCACATGTTCGGCAATCTGGCACTTTCATGACAAACCATGGCCGACACCACCTGAACGCTCAGCCCTTGCTTGAACAAACATCTATCACGATGTACAGGTCAAGACTGGCAGGGCGAACTTGGATGGTGATAAACACACACTACAATCCTTCATGATGCAAAGAAAAAAATCTAGCGTATTTTATTGCCACCATGGTCACTGCGTGTTTAAAACACCGTCCCGCATTTTTCGCGTTTCTTTCATCCCCCTCGCATGCTTCGCGATCGTGCGTAAACAAGACAAAAGCGATGTTCTTTGTCCAATCACTGGACGGAGTGCAATACAGGGTTATACAAAAAGTATGTGAATTGGCTGGTCATTGGATACAGTGAAATACAGGGCTTACCTGTGACCCGCTTCACACAATATTGCAGGAGGTCCCTGTTAATAATAATGTTATATATAATGATAAAGCTGGCAATTATTTAAATATGCGCGTATATTGAGGAAGAAAGAAGTGGCTTGATGTTCTCGTCTAATACAACTCAATAAAACACTCATTGAGGATTAAGTAACGGGTAAAGTTTTTAAAGAATATGTCCCGTTTGTAATCGGACCAATGAGAGAAAACCAATGTCATCAGATGGTCGTATTAACTACCAAGCCCAAATGAAGACAATAAGGAAACGCATCTCCTCTAAACAAGTATGATGTCCTGTGGCCTCATTGGAATAAATGTTCACAGAGTGGAATGGCTCTGTAAATATTTATATGCCATCTCGCACGACACATTTACTTTTGTTTTGGCGCATGCGCTCCGCACTACAGCAACACGCCACGTACAAACATTCTGGGCGTTCGAAGCCCTGCCGAGCGAAGCCTAGGATGCGAAATCACGCCTTGCGCATTTTAAAACAAATGAAATCGGAGCCAATAGGCTAATATAAAGCGTACGTACTTGTGGTCGTGCACTGAGGATGCATACAGCAGATTCAGGTGAAGTAGAGCATGCTTTTTGCCTTATTGTTGTCTTCGCTAAATGCGTAAAAACCATCCGGCATTTTAAAGATGCTCACGTGATACACTGTTTTTCTGTTACCAAGAGTTACCACTCAGAAAGGCTTTCACTGCCCTTCAAAATTATCAACATATACAAAAGCACTAAAGCGAGAATTCGTTTCAGATAAGTGTCCACAGTTTCGCCATGGCGTCGTTGTTTCTACTTGTATTTCAGAGATGGCAATCATTGTAGTGTGAAAAATGTTAATGACAAAGCCGACTGTTTTCAACGTATACTTGCAGTATGGCCAGGTTTATTGCACTTCTAATAGCGCACTTAGAAGGTGCTGAATGTAGCCAGAAAGCTGAGCCATTTTTTCAGATAATTGCATCACTATAGCCAGCACGATATCCTGTACCTCGCAAAAGGTGTATTTTCAGTAGTGTAGCCTTCTGTGAACCCTCATAACAATTTGTTATTTTGTAATATTGAATCCTCCCATTGAAACATTCATTGGTGTGCATGCTTGAAGCAAATAGTGACGGGGCTAGAAAAGGCCCCCGATTCTTTTTCTCTATCTGGAACTTCTATTCAACAAACATAAGGGCTCACAAAGCGTGGTGTAGTTGGCA